TCATTTTTACAGACACTCGTGGCTTTTCTTTATGAACACTGTCAAGGAAACATACTTTTTCCTCTAGCACTTTAGAAGCACCCAGCATCTCAGTGCTGCCCAGGTCCAACACCTTAGTTTCCAAACTGCTTTCAACTTGATGTGAGAAGGTCAGAACAAACAATAAACTCAATCTTGAGTACTGGGGGTGAGAATATATTTCCTTTCAGTATTCTTAAAAGGACACTGGAGAGCCCCCAGAACTTGGAGTCCCTTGTATACTTTCAATTTTTGGAGCTCCTCAGCTGTTTTGAAGTGTAGGGATGACCTGACAGTGAAGGATAAAATTAATCACTGATCCAGTTTTCAAAGTAGTGTTTCTATAGCTAAGCAAACACAAAATTCTAATGCAAGCAAAGGCTTAGATACTACAGGATCAACACCAGGAACTGGCAGTCCCGGTGGCTGTGCTGTTTGTGAGAACTGTCAAATGCAGATTCCTGAAGTCATTTAACTTTCCTGGTTTTTAAGACTATCTATCTTGGTCATACACCGATTGGGACTCCCTCAGTGGAGCCCAGAGAACATGTTTACATCCTGCACAGATCCATTCTCATTGTCTGCTTTCATATTACAGCTAAATTCTTAATCTCTTGAGTTATGCAAACAATTTTCTGCTGCTGTTCCACTTTGCTTTTGGCAATATTGTCATTTTGTTGCTTATACCTTTTTCAATAAAGCATGTTAAGAATGGTATGTCTTCAGGGCAAAAATAGAGTGGTGTGAGTGTGTAAGAAAGAGTGTTAGCAGTCTTTGAATGAAAAGGAAAGGTATGGAAGTAGATTTACAAAGGGTTAATGTTCAGGTTACTGAATATTAACACAGTAACATGCTTCAATATTTTTTGTTTATTTTTAACTTTTTTAAAATTAAAACCCTAAATATATCACTGCAGCATTTCCGGACTGCTTTGAAGCCTTCAATGCAGGGCCCCATTAAAGCAATTAAGATGGAACGGCTATGGTTTGGTAGTAGGATACAGGCTAAAGGAGAGCTGCAGGAAAAGGAAAGCACTGTGGGAGGAAGGCAGGATGCTGCAGTCCTGAAATGTGATCGTATAGCTGATTTTGAGGGGTCTGAAGTACAAAAGCAATGTTCATGATACCTAAGGCAGCTATGTTCTGTAGCCACTGGAAGACTTCCCAAGCGTGTAGTATTAAGCGAAATAAATCTTGATATGAAGCACAAACCCATGAATGTTAGGATTAAAAACGAGTTTAAGGATTGTGTGACTGAGATGTAGTAATCAATCAACTAAGTGCTGGTGATGGGCTTAAAACATGATACTGTAAGTGCAATTCTGGATTGTGTCACCAGAGGGGCTCCTAATCAAGACAGAACCATGAACTGCGTTGCTCAGCCATCAGTACTGGTAACGTACACAGTCCTTCGGAGAGGATAAACTGCAAACAGTTGAATCATCTTTACAATATTATTAAACTCAGTTAAAGAACAGCTGAAAGACTGACTGTAGAGTAAGTATACCTAGCGAAGGGGAGGAGCTACCTACTTATCCTAAAATTTTGTGGCATAAAATGAATATAAACAGATCATAAACTTGTGATTGAATTTAGAATAGTTTATCACCAGGGAAGTGAGTGGGAAGATAGAACAAAAGCTGTGTGCTTCATCTTGGTCTACAATTTGGTAGACTTCTGTGGCAAACCCTTTCAGGTGTGTTTTCCTTACAGAAACTAAGTGCCAGTTTTTAGTTTTAACATAATCAAGATTTTTGATTATGGGGTTAAATCAGTTAGATAACTGATACAGTCAATCTGTCTGCATGTGTAGAGCATAGCTAAATTCAGGTCCACTGCTGTAGAGTAACATTAAAGACTGAGGCCTAAATAGTGGTATGATACACTGAAAGGCTGTCATAGAATCACAGAATGGTTTGGGTTGGAAGGGACCTTAAAGATCACCTAGTTCCAACCCCCTGCCATAGGCAGGGACACCTTCCACTAGACCAGGTTGCTCCAAGCCCCATCCAACCTGGCCTTGAACACTGCTAGGGGTGGGGCAGCCACAGCTTCTTGGGGCAACCTATCCCCATGTCTCATCACCCTCACAGTAAAGAACGTCTTAATGTCTAATCTAAATCTACCCTTTTTCAGATTAAATCCATTCAGCCTTGTCTTTTTGCTATATGCCCTTGATTTCTTGTAGTTCCCTTTTAGGCACTGGAAGCTGCTCTAAGGTCTCCCTGAGCCTTCTCTTCTCCAGGCTGAACAACCCACAGCTCTCTCAGCCTGTCTCAACAGCAGAGGGGGCTCCAGTCCTTGGAGCATCTTTGTGGCCTCCTGTTCGACTCCAGCAGCTCCACATCCTTCTTGTGTTGGGGGCCCTAGAACTGAACGCAGTATTGCAGGTAGGGTTTTTGTCCTGTTCCTCCCACTTTATACCTATGTAACAAAGCTGGGTTTTCACTTGCTGTTGGGAAGCAAGTGTAAAGTTAAAGGTGAGATTTATTAACTGCACCTTACTTTGTCAAGTACCCAAACACCTGAAACAAAGCCAGGTGCACTGGCCAGTGCACTTACCTTTGTACTGACACATCTGGAATCTTAAGAATATAATTTTGCTTTACTGTAGCAATGAGATTACAAAACACATTACAAATGATTGAGCTGGGCAAAAATGCCCTTGAGCTGGTATTCTAAGATTTTAAAGTATACGCAAGTAAGCTTTTCTTACTCGATAGTTATGACTGCAGAAAAGGTTGAGGGAATAGTTACCATCTAATAGAAAAAAAAAATCCAACTAAACTCGATATAGTAACTCCAAAGATTAAATTTTATTTATTCATCTGTACAATAGAGGTAATCCCAGTAATTGTGTTGCACTTGTCTTAATTTCTACAAAGGAACTGCTGTTCTATTGAAGAATTGTTTACAAACTCTTCGAGTCAAACCCAGATTTTCCACTAAACAATGCAATTAGAAGAAATCACAAAAGTAAGTTCAAATCCTGCTTCCCCCCTGTACCTTAGCCTCAGTAAAAACCAAACCAGCCCTGCTACCCCCACATCAGGTGCCTGGCTGGTGCTATTAAGGCTACTCATTAGCCATGCTTTGCTGGAGCAGCTGTGCCTTGGACACAACAGTTTTACTACTTCATGTGGAAAAGGAAAAATACAGCCACTTTAATGTTGCATCTCAGAATAAACGGTTGCTCAACAAAAAAGTTAACTTGTGTCAGAGCTGTAGTCTTACATTTCCTGATGAGTTGTACCCCATTTCCCTGACAGAACTACTTGCAGTTTTTGTTGTGACCTTCCTCAACTGTCCCTATCTCCCCACTGGGCTTTGCATGATGGATAGTGCCAGCAGTAACCAGGATGGTCAAGTCCCACACCAACTCTCTTCACCAGGGAGAGGTCTACAAGTGGAGCAGGACTGGATTCCTGCTCCAGTGACATTCCTCAGTGTTTCTTGATTCTTGCCCTAGTTTTCCTTACACCAGTGTAAATCTGGAGCCCATTGACTGAAGCCAGCAGGTTTACCTCAGTGCAAATGCAGAACTGATACATAAGCAGTATCAGCCATCTTGCACAGGACTCGCAGTGTATTTGGGCCTTAATTTAAAGGCCTTCTGAGACATGGCTCATTGCCTTCAGTGACCTTTTCACCAGACCTCTGTACACATGTGCAGCAGTACCAAGTTCTGAAAATAGCTGTAAAAATGCAGATCCTATTCTTCTAAAATGCTATCTTAAATATTTTCCACTTCTCTTTGTAACTTCCAATGCTTATCAAATGCTGCTAAAACATTGCATACAGATTCATAATAATAAAAATCAAGAGTGAAGTGATTGCTACATTCAACATAACTTAAAGCCAATTTTTAGAAGCAGTTTTCATATTTTATAAATATGAAGGTGCAATTACTTTTTCTCATTTTTATTTTACTTTTTTCAATTGCACATGCTTCATTAGTAGGACATGCTAGAAAAAAGAAGCTACGGATCGCATAGGCTGTTTTCTTATAAGCACCCATTTGGAGGAAAGGGTTGATGGATGGGTATCTATCTATCTATCTCCAGTCTGTCCATGCTTCCTGCAGCTAGGCTCAGGGAAGTATCTGCAGGTCATTGGTGAGCTAATGACTGAAGTGAAAAGTACACATTAGACTCATTTAAGTTGGAAAAGACCCTAAAGATCATAAAGTTCAACTGTTTAATTCAGCACTGTCACATCCACCACTAAACTATGTCCCCAAGTGCCACATCTAAGCATCTTTCAAATACCTCCAGGAATAGCGACTCCACCATTTCCCTGGGCAGCCTAATCCAGTGTTTGACAACCCCCGGATGGGGTGAAGAAGTTTTTCATAAAATTCAATCTAAACCTCCCCCTGGCACAACTTAAGGCCTTTTTTGCCATTATTACCTTCTCTACAGTTAGCAAACCATGTCCCCTTATAGCCCAATAAACTAAGTTGTTCAAAATCCAAAATTTCTAAACTCAAGTTTACATCAAACTTCAAAATAAATACAATTTAATACAAAATCTTAGGAAAAAAATACACCATTTTACTTGCAAAAACCTATGCCTGGTCTTAAATGTATCCTAATTAATCTACTATCTCCATTATGGAACACACTGGATTTATAAAGTATGTGTGAAATAACTGAACTTAATTGCAAGGCTGCAATCCACTGTGCTGTAATTAGCTATTTTAGACTTGTGTGTGTACCTGAAAATGACTGAAGATGTGCATTTCTTTATATCTGGTTACAAATACTGGAAAAAGAAAATACTGTCTCTACAGGGTGCTGAGTTCCTCTTCTTGTTATGAAAGTCAATGCAATAAAAATCAGGATGTTTAAAGAGCTTCTCAACATTTTGCAGGATCACACCCAAGGCAGGTTTAGAGACTGGGATCATCTTTATGAAAGAAACCCTTTCAGAAGTAAGTTAAACAGCTGTGACAGGATGGGTTTCTTCTTCCCTGAAGTCTCTTTAAATGATGGCATCATGTTCATCACTGTAATAGAAACACAGTAATTAATGTTATGCAGTACAAGCAACTGTCAACATGGGAAACAGCCACCCAGCTGCTGCTAACTGAGGAGGTTATTATTTATGAACAGAGAACATCTTGCTGGGAAGGACTAAGGGCACATTGCTCTGGGAGTTACAGTCCTCTCTGAGCCAAATCTGAAGTTAACGGAACAATTGCATTTTGCCAACACTCCTCCAGCATCACTAGCTTCATTTTGGCTTTCATCCAAGTATATATTTTTACATCAGTTGTTGCTCAGTCATTTTTATCCTATCTTACCTATATCCAGTAGTAACAAGCAATCTAAGCCAGTTTACAAGCCCAGCGACAGGTTTCCTTTGTATTAGATACCGTTGATATAAATTCTGTAATATCCATTCCAACACCACTGTGGGTAAACATGCAGCAGGGACTGGCTGAATTCCATGATCAGCAAGCAGAAGTCAAGATGGAGAGAAAACATGAGGCCTAAACAGTAGCATCCCAACAAGTCTAATGACATCACCTCACTTAAAAGAAGCTTCTCAACTGCGATGGAGGATTCTCAATAGGAAAAATAAAAGCAACCTGGTTTTAACAATTCACAGTTCTTAAACTAATTATGAGACAAGGAGGCAAGTCTGGAAGTAAACTGTGTAGAGCTGAGTATAAATGGCAAATGAGATGGTACAATTTTGATTGAACTACCCACTACAAAAGCGCTAAGATGCAAGACAAAGCTCTCTTGCAAAAGAGAGGCATAATAATGAGGAATAGCTGATGTTGTGAAAGACAAAATATCATAGTTAGATCTCTTAATGATGCTAACATAATGTACGTTAAACCAATGTATGCATCAGTTCATTCTCCTTGTTTAGTTTGACTGTGTCCTCTCAAGAAAGTAATAAATTAACAAGGGACAATCCCTTGGGAACTTACATGGTTCTGTACTGAATGCCTCTTCTAGAGTGATAGGTTTTGCATCCAATGTAGAGAATAACTAGGGCTCCAAGCGTCAGCAGAATGCCACCTACAAAACTGCCCACATCAAATCTGGAGGTTTTGACTATGACAGCCTCAGATTTTGATGTGCCTGAAAAAAAAAAGAAAAAAGAGAACAAAAGGCACTTTTTACAGAGCTTGCAAAACTGTGTTTTGTGGGACTTGTCCTGCCCACCCCACTGACATGTATCTAAAGACCCAGTCAGGCAAATGTAATTTACATCAACTGGCAAGATTCCAGCCAAGCACACTGAAACCTGTAACTCCATTTTTAAGAGCCAGATACTGGTTACACAGGATCCAACTGCTTGCTGTCTTTGAAAGACTGACTGTAACTTCTCTCCACTTCCCTCTTTCCCCTTCCTTTCCCCCTCCTGCTCTCCCCTCTTTCCACACATGCAGCTGCTGTCCTTCTTAGCCCAGTTCTAGTGTTTTTTGTATACCCTCCATGAGCCAGTCTAACTCACCAAGCTGGCCTGAAATTAATGCCAGAAATGAAATTAAAGCAGAAAAGGAAGCTGCTTTAAGTCAGTCGAGCATATTGTGTCAGCCTGCAGAGTGGTCCAACAACCACCAAGTCAGCCAGCATAGTTACATGGTAGGAGTAAAATACTTTTGGTGGCAATGAGCTGTTGGATTGCTTTACCTTGTCTCATGGAATTGTACAGTCACTCTCCAAGTGAGACCAGCTCTGTAGCCCAACACAAATATTGACATAGATAACATGACCTCAGGTAAGCTGTAGCAGTTTCCGTGTGAAAACTGGTTTTATCTGCTACAAACTCCCATGAAAAGACCTAGTCTGTGCCTGTCTCTATTTGTACTTGCCACAGGGAGCATTATGTAGCCAACTAGAAGTTCTGCTGATGACAGCATCACCTACCTGACAACACTTCACTGACACATCAGTCACCATAACCTGTTTGGAAGCCTAAGCATGAAGTGGAGCGAACATGCAGCTAACCATAAGGAAATACTGAATTCTACACCTATTGTTTTTAGGTACTGTCAAACTGTATTTGACAACTTCTACATGAAGAGAGATTCATTCATAGTCCTACTCTATTCTCTGTTAGGGATAGAATTAATTACACTGTTAACAGAACACAGTCTTTCTATCAAGGCAACAGGCATATTTTGAGCCACAGATCAGATGTGAAAAAGGAAGTATTAAGAGACGAGTTCAAGTAAGCTGCAGAAGGGAGAGCTGAACAAACACAGAAGTTGTATTCAAAAGCCAGACTTTCTCCTAACACTGCTAATCTCCTTGCTGGTGGCTGCTGGTTCAAACCACTTGCATTTTATCTTTTTCTTAAATATATCAGGTCTCTCAAGTTAAGTGAAGCCTTATTTAAATAAGTGGAGTGCTCAGAGCAACATCATTGTAGCCAACTCCATAATAAAACCCCACCTTACTCTCATTTTTTAGCATGCAAGTACCTTCTTTCGTAAAACTAACAACGTTACAATTGTACATGTGCCAACATGTATACAAACCTTTCTGAACATCTTGAAATGTGAACTCACCTGTTACAGAAGTGAAAGAAATCTTGGAAGCAGTCACCACTGTAATATTCAGTTGTGATGATGTGACTGATGGAGCTATGGTGAATCTTGTCTGGCTGGTTTTGGTGGGTTGAGTTGTCAAGGTGGCAGACATAGTGGTGTTGATTGTCTGACTGGTGCTGGTCAAGTGAGTAGTACGGGTGGACGTACCTGGGAAATTTTTATTTGTGATATCACACAAAAATACTTAAAAAAATAAACTGTATACTCATCGAATAAGACAATATTTATCATGGCTAAATAGAATGACTGAGTAACAACGAAAATGCCACTGCATGGCTATACAGGCTTGCATACAGACTCTTCCCCTGTGCATTTCATTTGGAAAGACCTAACTTAGATTTCTCAGGCTCAAGGTCAGGAACAGTTTAAAGGAAAAGCAGTAAAGAAAACCTGGATAATATCTGATAACTTTTAGAAGGGTCTTGTAATGTTCTCCAATTCCATAGAATCATGCCAAACTTACAGTATTTTAAAATGTGATGAAACCCTGGATCAAGATTAGCTTTCCATTAGAAGCACTCAACTTTTCAGAAAAATAAGCTTTTCTGACAAAAAGGAATTCTGCTGGAAAACGTCCCCCCTCCCACCTCTGTTTATTAATGATTTAATCTTTAACTTGCTTTTGAATGAAACACTGACTTTAATAAGGCTGCATGTATATTAAACTTACCAGAGAGAATTCTGTACGTTTGTTAAGCTTAAGGTTCAAAAGGTTTTCCGCACGTGATAGAAGTTAAACCACAGTAAATCGCTGGTATAATTTATTTAGTAGTGAGCTGTCTTGCCAAGGTTAAAGCAAAGATTGGAATGTTGTTTCACACGTTTAAGTGACACCTAATGTATTTTAACTTTTACACTGCTTTACCTCTCACTTCCTCTTCCTTCCTCAGAAAGCAATAATCAATTGTTCAGAATGCCATAAAAATGCCATGAAGCAAAATTCAAGAATAATAGAGATTGATATTTGTAGCAAAATCCTTAGAACCTCAGTAGAACGCAGCCAGCTAGAATGATCTTAATAATTACTTATTTTTCTAAGCACAAACAAACAAGAAATAGGAGACGTATGAAACTAACATTTCTCTAAGCAGACAATATGAGGCATTTATGTATGAAGGAATTTTAGAAGAAGCTCTCTTTGCAGCTGTCTTCTTCTGTATTATTTCTATAACCTAACACAAACTGGATTCATTTTCAACACCACAAAAGCTTTTCATTATGGACATTCAAATATTTAGTTATACCCATGTTTTCTTGAAACTGTCTAAAACCGAAACAACTGAAGAATAGGTAGTTCCATCTCAATTGCACTGCACACTTAATATTTAATTTCTGCTTTTTTAAACAGTATCTGAAATGCTTCTTTAGAATAATCTTCCTTTAAGTGTTGTTTAAAACATGAGAACTTACAGAATGGTGTCTTTGCTAAGACTTAAAGTATCTCTGCTTACAATACAGATGTGAACATCAAAAACCCCAAACAATATGACAGTGTAAGCATTCAGAAAGGAAATGGCCTACACAACATTTTTGAGACATTTAACATTAAAACTACTTAAACAGCCCAATACAGTCCCCATAGTAAATGTTATTTATTTTCCTGTTCTTTGATGTTATAATTGTATTGTGCCATATCCCTGGGAAACACTTTGAAATGAGCATTCATTGCGATGGAACAATCGGAGTACTATATTCATGTGCTTACCTTGTTACAATTAGGAAATTCAGTTCCTCTATGAAGCATGTGTAAAATACATCAGATAAAATTCAGGGCACATTTTAATACTGACAGGTAAACTCCTTAAAGGCACAATGATCTATAAATATCAAATGGTTCCTCATTGTAGGAAATAAGCAAGGAAAATGTCTATATGGAAACCATCTACAGTTATATGACATGAAACCAGACCTGGTTACTGCATTCCTAATAGAAAGAATACCAAAAGAAAGGCAACTCTGAATGCAAGTGTCAACCAGTTAGTTTTCTGTGGGTTTTTCTTGGGGGGGGGAGCGGGAGGAAGGGGGAGTTTAAGCCATAATTTCTAAGTGTCAAACTGGCTCCTGTTTCTGAGCAATATAATGGCTAATTGTTCCGTACGTAACATTACTAGATGATGTTATGCAAAGATGGTATTTATTACAGACTTTAAGTTACCCTACATAAAACCTGAGTCAGCACAAACAATATCCAGGCAGCTATCATGAGGAATTTCGGCAAATCTGTGTATTACCTTTCCCCTCTCCTACTAGTAGTACTTTTTTCTTACTTTATCAAGATTACAGCACTTGCTGATGTAACATGAAGAGCAAAATCTGGTTAATCTCTTACAGACTTATCTTTAACAATGTATTTAGCATCAGTCATTTCAAAACATCAGTGGGAGGCTCTCTGAGGCAGCTGGAGAATTTGGGAAGCTGACATGAATTGGGCACCAATCTGTTCTTCTGTGTATTTGAAAAATCTTACCCGTACTATTTTACCAACAGAGTTAAGACAAAAGAACATTTTCTAGCAATATCTGTCTTTTTATCTTTTATTTCCCTAATTACTTTTTACCCAAAAGACCAGCTGGGCTTCATGGAACTTCATGCTAAACAAACCCAGACTGCCTGAGTGAATTTTATTATTTAAAAAGCAGACATGCCAGTGATGTAGTTCAGGTTTATGATGCTTTATTTTAAAAGAGACAAGTGTTTTACTTTGTATGCCACCTGTCTTTATTTGATATGCTGTATCCATCATGTTATATATACATATAGCATAAAGATAAGAATTCTTAGCAGCATCTACTACTCCCTTAGTGTTCTAACTCTAAGACTAAACACAATGCAAATTGCATAAGCACAGTGCTGACATATAAAGTAATTATTATTGAATGCTCTTCCTAAAATAAATACTCTCTTTTACATGGGAAATAACTGGAAGAGACTTTTGCTTCTGTCATGAAAAGCTTCCCCAGAAAAAGAAAAAAAGAAAAGAAAAGAAGAGACTTTAAGAAAATTAAGTACACAAATCCTGCAGTCTTTATTCTGAAGAGGTCGAGACACATAATCAAACTGGATGAACACTGTCCTTAAATCTATTAAGTTTCTAACACAGGAAAAAAAAAAAAAGGAAAAAAAAGGAAAAAAAAAAAAGAGGGAAGGCTATGAATCATAAACCGTGTGAAGCAAGGCATAGCTGTCTGTTAGGTTTGTACTGTGCCCAAAAAGGCTCTGGCCTCTTTTTACTGTTATTATCCAATCATAGTAAAGCTCAGACCTCTGCAAGAAACACATAATCAGGGTTGGAGCAGAGGGTGGAAGGGTTGGAGCACAGGGTGGGTGAAACCTTGGCTTAACAATGGCTTTACTCGTGGGGAAGGCCCTAAGGCAACAAGGGGATTACAAAAATCTCTCCACTATTCAAGTCAGACATGCTTAAACTGGTACACTGCAGGCAATGGAATGAGACGCCGCACTACTTCCTTGCTGTCAGAAAGAAGGTCTTTCCATCTTTGCAGAGATTCTTCCTCCTCACTTCTCCCCCCCACCCCCAGTATTTTATTCTTAAATGAGTAACAAGCAACTTCTGAGTGTGGTAGCTGAGAGGTTATCTGCAGACTAGAGTGACACAAAGTGAGAGTTGTACTGGAAATGGAATGACATAGCTGGGACCTCATGATCAGCATAAAACTCCACAAACACATGAAGAATCCTAGGGTAGGCACAATATTTCTGCCCTGCTTCCACATGGCTCTTAGCACAAAGGGGATCCAGTTCATGCATGGAAGTAGCTTCTCTTCCCTCAGATACAACCTTTGATCTGTGCATCACAGACTGAACAGCTGCATGACGTTAATTCTTATCCAATCTTTACTGTTGTGGTGGAATATGCCTGTGCAAGTTCTTCCAGAAGATTTTTTTTTTTATTTCCTTTTTTAAATTATCTCATATTGACATAGCCAACAGTTGGAACACTGCATATACAACTGGATGAACTGTTTGTGTCTCAGGTTAAATATCTGCTTTCAAACTTCCTACAAAGATGTGTTTTGTAAACACATTACTTATGCGGGAGCATCAGGACTGCAACACTGCTGCCTTGGGAAATCATGCTCCCCTACAGCTTTTGCCAAGTTGTGAAGAAAGAGGGTAGTACTAGAACAATGGAAAAGTACCTGTGACAGATTGTCCCAGATCTGCTGCTCATGTCTCACTTAACTCCACTGTTTGGTGCTATGAGCTCTATAAGGACTATTCTCTATAAGGACTATTTGTTATGGTATAAGTGCCATGAGTCTTACCTAAAAGGAAATGGACTCTTACTCTTGAAACTCAAGCCCCCAGGACTTCATTATACCCTAAATCTCTTCACTGTCAAATAACATTAAACAGATACAAGCTATTTGCACAATAATTAATTAATCTTTACTGCATGAAAATGGAAGAAATTTGCTTAGAGAAAAAAAATGAACATTAACTTTAAATTCTTCCTTGAAATTTTATTTTGGTAACGTGTTTTTCAACAGCACAAGAAACGCCATAGCTCCTACTGGAGAAGCATGCTATCTAAACCTGGAAAACAGTACAGCTTCATTTCAGAATTATTTTACATGTTGTCTCTCAGCCCTGAAATGATAACGCCTCTCTCAAATACCCAGTTTTGGTAGGTATTTCATTCGAATTTGGTATGATCTGGGGTAGGTTTGGAACTAGCTTCTAGGTTCACAGTAACAGATAGAGAAACACACACACATACCTACTGTAGATGTTGCTGCTGATTTTGTAGATGATGTATCAGTGAGATTGGACGATGAGCTACTATTGCCTTCAAGGAAAAACAAACCAAGAAAAGAAATATTATTAATTTTCATGTTAACATACCCACAACACAATACTTGTTTGCAGGCTACAAGTGTGAACAGAGCAGAAAGTACTCCATCCGAAACCCAATGGGTTTACCCCTTTGCAAAATGCTTCCAGATCTCAGTGCAGGAAGACAATTGTTACACTGTATGCACAGCAGCCCCCAAATCTGAATTCTTTACATCTCCTCTTTTTCCTCTCTTCCACTTTACGTCATGTTCTATTCCAGTTGCTGTTACCAGCCATACTGTCACTGACGTTCTTGACCTACATAAGCACTGTGGGTTTTTTTTCCCCGAGTTTTTATTCCTCTATTTCAGTTCCACTTCTTGTCCCTCAATCGTTTTTTTTTCATTTTGCGGCATCT